TAAAGGTGTCAATTCAAGAGAAGGATATAACATTCATAAATATTTACGCACCCAACACAGGAGCATCAAAGAGGAAATCAAACAGGAAATAAACTATCTTAAGACAAATGAAAATGCAAGCACACCTTTAAGATTTTATGGAATGCAGCAAAAGCAGTTCTAAGAGGAAAGATCATAGCTTATTCATGCCTACCTCAAGAAGCAAGAAAAATCACAAATAAACAATCCAACTTAACACCTAAAGGAACTAGAAAAAGAAGAACAAACAAGACCCAAAGTAAGTTGAAAGAAGGAATTAATAAAGATCAGAGTGGAAATAAACAAAATAGAGACTAGAAAACAATAGAAGAGAACAATGAAACTAAGAGTTGATTCTTTAAAGGGATAAATAAAATTGATAAACCTCTAGCAAGACTCATTAAGGAAATAAGAGAGTTCAAACAAATAAAATCAGAAATGGAAGAGGAGAGATTACAACCGATACCACAGAAATACAAAGGATCGCTAAACTATACTATGTACAATTAATTGCCAATGAACTAGACAATCTAGAAGAAATTGACAAATTTCTATAAACATATAACCTTCCAAGACTAAACCAGGAAGAAAAGAGAATCTGAAGAGACTGTTTACTAGCAATGAAATTGAAGGAATGATTTAAAAAAACTCCCAACAAAAAAAAGCCGAAGACCAGACAGTATCACAGATGAATTCTACTATACATTTAAAGAAGAATTAATACCTACACTTCTCAAATTTCCAAAAAGTGAAGAGGAAGGAATGCTTCCAAACTCATTTTATGAGACCAGCATTACACTGATATCAAAATCGAAGACACCACAAAAAGAGAATATCACAGGCCAATATCCCTGATAAACATAGATGCAAAAACTCTCAACAAAATACCAGCAAACTGAATTCAACAATAAATTAAAATGATTATACACCATAACCAAGTGGGATTTATACTGAGGGTGCAAGGGTGGTTTAACATCTGCAAAACAATTAATGTCATTCATCACATCAACAAAACCAAGAATAAAAATCACATTTATCATCTCAATAGATGTAGAAAAAGCATTTGACAAAATTCAACATCAATTTATGATAAAAGCTCTCAATAAAGTGGGTATACAAGGAACCTGCCTCAACATGATAAAGGTTATATATGACAAGTCTACAGTTAATATACACAATAATGAAAAGTTGAAAGATTTTCCTCTAAGATCAGGAACAATACAAGGATGCCCACTCTCACCACTATTATTCAAGATAATATGGGAAGTCCAAAGCACAGCAATCAGCAAAATAAATAAATAAATAGATAGATAGATAGATAGATAAATAAGTAAATAAATAAAAGTGACCAAATTGGAAAGGAAGAAGTAAAACTGCCACTATTTGCAGATGACTTGATAGTTATATAGAACAATCGAAAGAATCCATCAAACAAATAGAATAAACGAATTCAGTAAAGTAGCAGGATACAAAATTAATATATACAGAAATCTGTCGCATTTCTATACACTAATAATGAATGATCAGCAGGAGAAATTGAGAAAACAATCCCAGTTATAACTGCATTAAAAAAAAAGGTAAAATATTTAGGAATAAATTTAACCAAGGAGATCAAAGATCTGTACTGAGAAATATAAGACATTGAAGAAAAAAGGGAAGAGCACACAAATAAATGGAAGGATATACCATGCTCATGATTGAAAGGTTTAATATTGGTAAAATGACCATACTATCTAAAGCAATCTACAGATTCAATGTGATCCCTATCAAAACACCAATGGCATTCTTCTCAGAACTAAAACAAACAGTATTAAAATTTAAATGGACTCACAAAGACCACAAATAGCCAAAGTGATTTTGAGAAAGAACAAAGTTGGAAGCATCATGCTCCCTGATTTCAAACTATTCTACAGAGCTATAATAAAATGGGATGGTACTAGCATAAAAACAGACATATAGATCAATGGAACACAATAGAGAGCCCCAAAATAAACCCTCACTTAATATGGTCAATTAATCTATGACACAGGAGGCAAAAATATGCAATGGAGAAATGACAGTCTCTTCAACTTTTTTCCAGTTGGGAAAACTGGACAGATATATGCAAAAAAATGAAACTGGACCACTCTCTTGGACCGTACACAAAAATAAACTCAAAATAAAGACTTAAATGTAAGATCTGAAACCATAAAACTCCTGGAAGAAAATAAAGGTAGTAAACTATTTGACATCAGTCTGAGTAATATCTTTTTGGATATGTCCTCTTGAGCAAGGGAAATAAAAAGCAAAATTAAACAAATGGGACTTCATCAAACTAAATGGCTTTTGCACAGTGAAGAAAACCATAACAAAGACAACCTACTGAATGAGAGAATATATTTGCAAATGATACATCAGATTAGGAGTTGATATCTAAAACACATAAGGAACTCATACAACTCAATAACAAAAAAATAAACACTCTGGTCAAAAAATGGGCAGAAGACATGAAGAGACATTTCTCTAAAGAGGACATACAGATGGCCAACAGACATATGAAAAGATGCTCAATGTCACTAATCATCAGGGAAATGCAAATCAAGACCACAGTGAGATATCACCTCACACCTGTCAGAATGGCTATTATCAAAAAGTCAACAAATAACACGTGTTGGTGAGGATGTGGAGAAAAAGGACCTTCATGCACTGCTGGTGGGACTGCAAATTGGTGCAGCCACTATGCAAATAGTCTGGAGATTCCTCAAAAAAGTAAAACTAGATCTATCACACGATCCATTAATTCTACTTCTGGACACTTATCTGAAGAAAACAAAAACACTAATTCAAGAAGACATATACACGCTTATGTTCATTGCAGCATTATTTACAATAGCCAAGATATGGCAGCAGCATAGGTGTCTATTGATAGATAATTGGATAAAGATGTGGTACATATATACAATGAAATATTGCTCGGCAATAAAAGATGAAATCTTGCCATTTGCAACAATATCGATGGAACTTGAGGGTATTATTCTAAGTGAAATAAGTCAGAAAAAGACAAATACTCTATGGTTTCACTTAAATGCGGAATCTTAAAAACAAACGAACAATGAGCAAACACAACAAAATAAAAACAGACTTATAGAAACAGAGATCAAAGAATGGTTATCAGACGCCCAAGGAAGTAGGGAATGGGTGAAAAAGGTAAAGCGTAATATAGTCAGTAATATTGTGGTAAGTTTTCAGTGACAGATGATTACTAGAATTAGAGGGGTGGTCACATTGTAAGGTATAAAAATGCTGAACCACTATATTGTACACCTGAAACTAATATAATATTCCATACCAACTATACTGAATTTTTTTAAAAATTAATTTAAAAGCCCAGCTAATATAATTGCTAGTTATAAGAAAACCTTCAAGTATGATTAGCTGCTTATAATTTAAACACACTCAATGGCACTCGTTATTAGAACTATTTGCATTCTACTCTCTCATCCCATGCAATTTATCATTTGTGCACGTGTACATTTTAGTTTGCAAACACACACATGCTTTGCACCACTACAACACACTATAATATTACCTCAGATGTAAACAGCTTACAATCTTCTGATTTTGCTGATCGTCTTTTATGTCTAGTTTAAAAATAAAGCAAAACATGCATGCCCAAGCATAATCCCCACAAAATACAGGTAAATGAATGTTTAGCTTGAGTAGTCATTGTCTGAATATTATAACTGATTCAAATTTTTTAATGTAATTTATAATCAAATTGCTATTTGCATTAATAATTCACAATACAACAGAAGGTCACTCTTCTCAAAAGATATTTTCAGTGTGCTGTCTGATGAACAGTAGGCCCTCTGAAAGTCTAGTCAGGGCTTAGCACACAGCAGACGTGGAGGTTGGGCAGTGCCATCTACCTAAGTACCTGCATTGGTGCTCCAGAAAAAAATCCAGGCTAGGTTTACTGGAGAGCAGGTGGATCACTTAGTAGTTTTCCCATCAGAAAATTCAGTCACCACTAATCAGATCATTCTCAAGCCCCTCATGTTAAGTTTCATCTTTTTCAAACCAGAAAAGAAGCTTTTTGAAAGGGAAAGGCTGATAGTGACAGAAAATCAGAGTGCCTTACACAGTGTCCCACAGAAGCAACTTAATAAGGTAGAAGCTGAAGGAATTCTGGAAAACAGGTGACTGCTTCCATGTCAGCAGTCACAACTCAAAAGAGGCACTTACTTTAAATGATTTAAACAAGAGAATAAAGCTCCAGAAAAGGAGAGAGACTTAATCTATCAGGGTCAAGACTAAAGACAAGGAAAATAAACTTCCCTCATCTACCCGCTCCCCTAACCTCATCAAAGTAGGCAGTGTTCTGACTTTCCTGATGAAGATACTAAAGCTCTGAGGGGCTAAGTCACCTGCCCAAGTGCTGGAGTCACGTGGCAGAGTAGTTTTGGAAGCAAGGCCTCTTTTCTGCAAATAATCAAATTTGTCTAAAATTACATTCCAAGAAAATTTCAGATGAATTGTGCTTATAATAAGTGTGTACACTTGAGGGAAAATGTAGAGAATCATTTATGAGGTTTTGCAGCATGTATTTCTAACTATTAAAACACAGTTACTTACATTTGTTTTATTATTTTGGAACTACTTATTATTAGTGATAATAACAAATGATCATGTTATAGCTCACATGAGCTACATATACTGATACAGCAGAGAGTATCCTCAGTCGCTCTTTAATATGATTAAATAATCAAATGCCCTCAAATAATCCTAAGAAGTAGGCAATATTACCTACCTCACTGCAGGAGGAGAACTGAGGAACAGAAAAGTAATTGCCCTAAGGTGACATAGTTTGTAAGAGGCACACAGGTGTCATACCTAGGCAACGTGGCCCTGAGCCCCAGTCTATAAGCAAAAACATACTATTAATATCAGCAATTCCTCATTATAACTAGTTGTCCAGTCAACAAATAACAAAAAATTCTTACCTCTGGTTTGCTAAGGCTGGATGAAACCAAGGAACCAGATCCCACGTCCAAATCCCACTGCTTTTTACCATGATTTTCAGGATCCAAGGCAGCAATTCGCCCATCTAAAGTGCTGATAATCACTAATGATCTGTAAATTTAAATATTAAAATAAATAAGTAAATAAGATAAAAATAAAAATAGGACAAAGTGTAAAAGGCATCTAAGACTTGCTCCTTATACCCCTCCCCAGGCCTCTATCTGTAGGAGAGAAGTGGGCCCCGCCTCCTCACAACTTACTGTCTTGCCACCACTGTCTTTAGCCTTCCAAAAAAATTGTACTATGTCTTTTAACCGTTTATGTCACTTATGAAAAGTCCCAGATTCCTAAGTTACCCTTTATTCCCACACTCTAATCCCCACATAGAACTCAACAGTCCCTGCTCTGTCCTCTTCTACCTTTCCCCAATTCCTGAAGTCTTCCGTGAATGTTCACTTTCCTTCTTTCTCTAACAGAAATCCTACTCTCCTTGAGGCCATTGCTTCAATTCAAGAATCGTTTCTCCATAACTCTTGACCAGTGGGCCTAGTGACGGGGTAGGTGTACTCCCTGGACCTTGTTTTTTCTCTCCTCTCTAAAAGTTCTCAGGATCGGATGGTCCCATCTATTACCCCTCCTAGTAATTGTCTACTTATCCTTGGGTCACTAGCCCCATTCCTTGAGGATTTTAGCTCCTAGTTTACTGTTACTATTAAGTTCTTTGGGTTTTCATGATCTGTCTACCTTGCCTCAGCCACCTTCATGGTCAGATCCTAGCTCTTGTCATTACAAATCACAACTTCCCTGTCCCACTGAAATTTTAAGCATCCCCCCACCACCCCAGCCGCCAGCCCTTCTTTCCAGCTCACTTCCTCTGCTTCCCTGACTGCAAACAAACCTCTGACCCCACCAGAACCTAAAAGCCATTGATCCTATCACCTTTACCCTGATCTTCAATACTACTATGCCTTCACTTCTTTCTCATTCAGTTTCAATTCCATAGTCCTTCATTTTAAGCGCTTCCTTCCTTGCACCTTCTCTCACATGTTATACTTGACTGGCAGAACTCCAATCCTGATTAAATTTAACTTTCTGCCTTTCTCATTCTTGCATCTGTGCAGTTGAATACAGCTGAAGAAAAACATAGCCATGCTGACTGGTCTCACTACGACCACCAACCACAAAAGGGCATTAATGATGCTAAACAATCGAATAACACTTCCCTAGTCTATCCACTCACTCAATGTCCTGGGTTAACTATTCACTTCACCCTTCTCCACAAACTTCTGACACCAGCTCTTCCAAGCTCACGCATCTCAGGGACTGTGCTACCTATTTCTCGGAGGAAAACAAACAATCAAATGAGATTGTTGCCCATCATCACATCTATTTGTCAGCACCTGGATGGACCCATGTAGTCTCCCTTCTGCCCTGTTACTGCAGGTGAACAGTCCGCATTCCCATTCACCACCACACTTCCACTTAGACGATATCTCCCTCAAGCACACATCAGGACTCACTCCTGCAGATCTCTCCTCTTGCTCTCACAATATTCCCTCTTTACCAGAGTGTTCCCCTCAGTATTCAAATCTGCTATTATTTCCCCAAATTTAAAAACCAACCAAGATTAAATAGAATCAACCACTCTTCCCCCTCCAGCTTCCAATTCATTCCTTGCCCACTTTAGAACAAAATTCCTTGAAAGAATTGTTATATACTCTGTCTCCAAATCCTCTCCTCCCCTTGTCCTGAACTATTTCCAGTCAAGTTTGTGCCTCTACCACTCCACTGAAAAGGTTCTTATCGGAGTCACCAATGACCTTCACATTGAAAATTCCTGTGGTCTGGTCTCAGTTCATTTGACCATCTAACAGCACCTGAGCAGCTACTTCTCTTGCCCTCCGTAAAACACACTCTTTACGTGGTTCCAAGACACTAAACTCCCCTGATTTTTTTTTTCTTCCATCCTACGCCTTCTCAGTTGCATTTTCTGGTTCCTCCTCATTTCTCCTTATCTCTTAAAATATTCCCTACCTACACATACTTTTTTTGTTGGTTTCATCCAGTCTCATAGCTTAAAATATCATCTATATATTGGCAACTCCCAAATTTTTATCTCTAGTTCCAGGCCTCTACCTAAACTCTAGACTTACATATCTGACTGCTTACCAGATTTAGATTGTCTAAGAGACTTCTCAAAGTCTAGGTATCCAAAATCAATCCCTTCATACTGACTCCCCCAATTCCTTAAACACACCATGCATGATTTTCCCGAAGGAACTTTGCAGCTACTGTTCCTTCTGTCTGGAACACAATCCTCATATATATAACATGCTCTCAGTAAACTTTTGTTGAATGAAAGAATGTGCTGTACAGTTGTTCAAGGAATTTGTTAGGCATATTTGTCTGCTTCAGAGATAATGCAGACTCCAAGTACATATATTTATGTTCCTGGTTAGGATAAATACAACTTTTATCTTTTCTATCTCACTTGATACACAATGTATACAAATTCAAAGTAAATCTACAAGTTGACCAAAACAGTTCAAGTAAACTCATTTGCAACCTTTCAAAGAATTTATCAAATGAATGAACTTATCAAATTAATAAATACAATTATTAATTTAGTTCCCAAACCACACATCGATTCTCATTTTGAATTTTTCAAGTGGTAACCCTTAGTCTATTGTGTGAAAATAAAAAATTTTGCCACACCATAAACTCTAGCAATTTTAGACAACAAACCAAAAAAGAAACAACTCAACTCCCTTCCCCACATATTATCCTGCTTTCTAAAGAAATCTACTGGGAGTTGGAGAAAGAGAAAGATGCCTCAAGTAAGAAAATTATTTTATAATGAAGGTTATAAAATTCTTATCTTAAATGTGTCACTTTACAAATAAAAGCAATAGAATCTAATTTCAGAGATCCAGGGTTCATTCAGAGCCAAGTTAACCCTTTCCCAGCTCCACTGTAAAAATGTCTAATTCTTCTGTTTAATAATCATTAACCACAAATAATTGGTTGAATAAAAAAAAAATCTAGTTGAAATAAAATTTAGTATAAGCAAACAGTGTGTTAACCCATGAAAAATTAAGACCACTTCAGATACTATTCTTTTTAAAATTCAGAACCACCACTGTTCATTTATTATTCTAGGCATTCCATTTATTACAATGTATTATATGTATATGTATTATAATTTATTATATGCACATAAGAACATCTTAATAAATAATTTGGAGTTTAATACCTAACTATTCTTTCACTGAAAGCCTATCATATGGGGTACATCCCAAGGCTCTGCTCTTATTCTCCTCATGGCTTTTTCATTCAACTTGCTTTTTCCTAGGTAAATTACAGACACACCTCCTTTTATTGTGCTTCACAGGTATTGCATTTTTCACAAATTGAAGGCAAGACCCCTCACTAGCAAAAAAATTACAACTTGCTTTATTGTAATATCCATTTTATTACGGTGATCTGGAACCTAACCCGCAAAACCTCTGAAGTATGCCTGTGTGGCTATTTTACCTAGCAAGGCATAACTCAAATACACCTGATCATAGAAATCATCTGGAGTGCTTGTTAAAAACCCATAAAGGTCCCATCCCACAGGGGGCCTTGAGAGAATGCAGCTTACCAAGTACCCCAGGTGAGTCTCATGATAAGGCCAATTTGGCGACACTGGTTTACCTCAAAGAGTAAAAAAATAATAATGTATTAGCTGAACGAAGAAGGCCTATTGATCAACTATCAGAAAACACTCTTGAAACTTCTGTCTCTCACTTACACCTTGCTCATTCACCCATACCCGAGTCTTTGAAGCTCCTCTCAAAAAGGTTGTCAATGACCTGCTCCTAATGATTTGTCCTAATCGGCTTTGTCCTCGCAGCAGCAGCTGAAACAATGTCTGGCTCCTCATGCGGGGCATTCCTCCTTCCCTGGCTTCCGCAAGACCTGTCCCTACTACCCCATCCTCACCTATCACTCTGACCGCTCTCAACCACTAACGAGTAGGCCACGGAGTTCTAGCTTTCACCAAAGCCTGCAGCTTCACCTTGATCTGTAATGTGACAGCTCCAAACCTATATGGTATTTACAGTTCATCTCTCTTCCAACCCTGGTTCCCCATTTTCAGTTTTTATTCGCCACAAAGTTTACAGAAAACTCAATTTCTCTATACATATTTCTCCATCCACCCTGTCACTTAACATTTAAATCAGACATCAACTCTAACTTCTCCTTCGCACTATGCATTTAGACAACAGTCATGTACTCTTGATTCTATTACTGAAGGTTCTTTCAAATCTTTTTCTTCTTCATTACCACTACTGCCCTTGTCCTAGAATAGATTCTCATTTCTCATCAGAACACCTGCAAAAGCCTTTCTGACATATTTCCATGCTTCTGGTCTCTTTCCTTTCTGCATTTCCAACAGTTTTGTTTCTAGAAAAGAGATGTGACACACTTCTGATGCTCCTTATGCCCACCACATAAAGGCAAAACTGCTTCGTATGGCATGTAAAGGCTTTCATAATTTGGCATAATCCCTCACCACACTGTGGCCACACACACACACACACACACACACACACACACACACACACACGTTTCAAATCTTTTCAACAAAGTTCCCTTGTTAATTTATTTTTTTGTCTCACATCGTAAATGATTTCATTTACCCAATAAACACCACTTCTAATGAATTCTCCCATCTCTAGGGGAAATATTTAAGTATCAATCAAAATATTCAAGACTTCTGGAAAGAATGAGCTAAAATTACTATATTAAATTTGATATAATTCTAGCTCAAAGAAATTTGACTTTTTAAAAATTAGCCTTCTCCTCAATGAATGTCCAATTTCCATTAAATTATTTAAAAAAATACTGATATCTCATAGATGCCCATTTTTACTTTTGCAGGTCCACAGAGGTCCAAAAGCCCTGGCTTGGGAACCACTGCTCTGTGCCCTGACTCATTCTTGTTGCCTAGGCTGTCCTTGACACTTTACACTGAAGGACTTGCTCATTCGACATTCTTTTCACTCTCATACTACTCTAATGTCACTTATTTTCCATTCTAGTATAGTTAATTCTTTAACACAAAT